CATAAACATAAAATGTGTGAACATTTACTTCGATAACCAGTGTCTTGGTGTTTCCTCCGATTAAATCGAAGCTGTAACTCTTACTCTCTGAGCATGTGTGTGGTTTTCTTCACTAGCAAATCACGCTGAGCACATTAAAGTACTTACAACAGCTCTTTATGCTCTCCTGAGACTTACAGAAAGAGAGAGAAAGGCAGAGAGAGAGACGTTGTGTCTTCCACTGCCCACAGTGTTGGTCAGTGTCTGAATTCCCCACAGCGGCTCATATCTCACACAGTATGACCTTACACCATCCTACACACACACACTTAAACAAGTGAGCTAATGCTAAAGAATGGGACACAGTACGTAAAGAGGACAAAACATTCTACCCACAGTGTTGAATATGCCACAATGCAGTACTGTCTTCCATTTCCTCCCCCGGTCTTTTCTGCTCTTTTTTTTCATTTAATGTGTTTTTTTTTGCTGGGGCTGGGAGACAGAGATAGACAATGCCATTTGTTTCTCAGAGGAAAACGGATTAAAAGTGACTATGGGGTCACAGTACACTGTAATTGATTTGGGTGTATCGCTCTGGTGTGAATGCACTGTCACCTACTGGATGAATGACATATTACAGATAACAGCAGCTTTCTTGAATTAACTTTCTTTGCTTTTCTGGACATTTTGTCATAACACCAGGTGCGTCATTAGATCCTTTATTACTGGGTCATGAACCCCAGTGAAATATCACTTGGACCCAGTAAAATATTACAGATAAATACTTGTCTGACAATGGAGATTGCCGTATAACAAACATTTCCCTGATAATATTTCAGCAAGCATATTGTGTGTTTTCTATCTGCTGTTTAGAATCAGAACTAATGATGGCATTTGCGGAGATAGACAATGCCATTTGTTTCTCAGAGGAAAACGGATTAAAAGTGACTATGGGGTCACAGTACACTGTAATTGATTTGGGTGTATCGCTCTGGTGTGAATGCACTGTCACCTACTGGATGAATGACATATTACAGATAACAGCAGCTTTCTTGAATTAACTTTCTTTGCTTTTCTGGACATTTAGTCATAACACCAGGTGCGTCATTAGATCCTTTATATAATTTATAATTATTATAAATAATAATTTATTTATTTTTTGATCTGATGAATGGATTGGCAAAAAGGTCTGAATTTGTTTGCAATTTAGTTTGATTCATTCAGTTCACTCACGCACTCCTCCAATTTCTCTTCATGCACTTTTTTTTGCAAGTTTGTACCCCAAATAGTAATGGAATACTTAATAAGACAAAACAAAAATATATAAAATCTACCTACAACTGTCTTTTATCATTTGTCAACAATGAAGCAGCTCAACTCTGTACTGCAAAGCCAATTTATATAAATATATCCGAAACCATATCTAAGATAAATGTTTTATCAAGTTTGAGTATCAAAATAATGTGACTCTTTTTGAGGGGGCATTCTGAATAAAAGACAAATATCTCAAAAGTCTCCATGGCAATTGCTTAGCTTGTGCATGGCCAACTGAAAGTATGGTCTTTATGGGCACTATTCAGGGAGCAGATGTTTTTGATCCACGAATACGGAAACATTTGATTTTGTGTCGAATGAGAGACCCAAAGTTGGTTTCAGTTTCGTTTTAGCCTAAATGAATTCGTTTTGGCTTGTCGTTTAAATAGCTATAGCTTTTTATATTTTTAATTCTTGTTCTTTTCTAAATACTGTTAATTGAAAGGATTTGTTGTGGAGTGAGGGGAACTAAAATAGTCTAGTTATGTTTACAGTGTTTATTATAATGTATAATGTAAAGCCCCACTATAACGTTTAATGCACCACCAAAGGCAGCTGAGATATAGCACCTCCAATTGGGCAAATAATGCAATTTCTCCTGTTACTGCATTGTCATATCTGCCAAATTTATGGGTCCATAACTTAAAAATGCTACAGTAAAAATGTCTAAAAATGTGCATGGTAGCAATCAAGTGCCCTGGGAATAAGGCCGCAGTGGAACTTTTAAAACATTTTAAATGTATCAATGTGAACATTTTAAAGTTATGGACCCATAAATTTGACATATGACAATACAATAACAGGAGAAATTGCATTATTGGCCTAATTGGAGGCGCTATATCTCAGCTGCCTTTGAGGTAGTCTCGCATAGCATCTAAACATCAGAGAGATACATTTGATCATAAGACAGTAGTGCGGGTGAGAGTCACTGTTTATACTCCATATTCTCACATCTATTAATAGTAGCATGTGTGTTCAGCATTTCAACCCTTTACAGTCTGGGTCTATGTATAAAATCAGATTACTACTTTCCATTACTTTGTCTTTGGCTAACAAAACAGAGTTGCAGTGGCCACATAGATCATGTGAGCTGTACTATTAAATACAAGGTTGTTATTGAATATCTGCACAAGACACTGTAAAATAAAAGTTAGTTTATGCTGATATTAAAACAAATAATCATAAACATTTTAAAATGTGCGTGTCATTGGCATGGCAGTTTATTAGCAGTTCAGAAAGTCTAACTCACTCACCATGTCTTAGACCATAGCAGCAGGTTTTTACGGTTAAACAGTAGATCTATAATAGATTTATACCAATCTACCTCCAAATGGAGCATTTGATTAATAAATCCAAAATCAAACTTGCTTGTAGAAGTAACCTTTTTTTCTGTTCACTGGATGCTCTCACCTCCAGAGCGTCTGAGTGCGTTTCTGCTTTCTGCTCCCTGGCCGAATCGGTTGAGTGAATGATTCAATGACTCACCCATCCAACTGCATGGTCATTGAAAAAATTAGTAAACAACAATGAATGAATCTTTATAGTGAACTGACTCTGTTACTGGATGAATCACAGTCCACTACTACATCACTGGTTCTCAATTCCAGTCCTGGGTACCCCCTGCTCTGCATGTTTTGTGTGTCTCCCTTATTTAACACACCTGATTCAGATGTTAGGAGAGAGATCCATGAACTGAAATGAGCGTGTCAGAGAGACATACAAAATGTGCGGAGCAGTGGGTCCTCAGGACTGGAATTGAGAACCAGTGCACTACATGAAGGTATACATCAGTTCACGATGGAAATTTATAATACATTTTAGAGCATTTATCATCCAAAAGGAAATCTTTTCTTGTGTCACATCAATCAGGGTATCTTCCGTCCAATCAATTTTTGTTTTAATATTGAAATCTGAAAAATGAAAAATGGGCACATATTTAGTTTTTCAATTATTCAAACAAAACGAAAAAACAAGAATCCGGCTTAATTTTTCGTTTTTACATTCAGGGATAGAAAACGAATAAACAACTTGAATATTCGATCTCTACATGTGGGCGGGAATGAAACGCCCCTCTCTGCTAATTGGTCAACCAAACATTACAACATAATAATAGTCCTAAAAAAAACCTTAATAATAGTCATCCGCTTCTATTGATTCTTAACATGTAAAACTCAGTTTATTGTCTAAAACTACCTGTTTTAAGAACATGTTAAGAATCAATAGAAGCGGAGGACTATTATTAAGTTTTTTTTAGGACTATTATTATGTTGTAATGTTTGGTTGACCAATTAGCAGAGAGGGGCGTTTCATTCCCGCCCACATGTAGAGATCGAATATTCAAGTTGTTTATTCGTTTTCTATCCCTGAATGTAAAAACGAAAAATTAAGCCGGATTCTTGATTTTTCGTTTTGTTTGAATAATTGAAAAACTAAATATGTGCCGTTTTTCATTTTTCAGATTTCAATATTAAAACAAAAATTGATTGGACGGAAGATACCCTGATTCACATCTTTATTTTTTTCCTTTTGTGGTTACAAACTTCATGAATAGAGATTCAAAACGTAGCAATCGATTTCATTTTTAAAATGATTTATATCAAAAATATTTATTCCTTTTGATCTTTCTAGAATACAGAAATTGCTCTAGAGGCTAAAATCTATTCTGCTTCTCTCACTCACTTTATTTTTATGTATTATTAGCATCCCTCATGACACAAATATATATTTTAATATTCTAGATCAAATACATCCACATGTCAAAATGTTTTTATTTCTCATTCCATACTAGCTTACAATCAGAATATAACAAAATACAAAAAAAATAAACAGAAGAAACATACAACATATCATACCATTTTTCCATCCACGTCTATCTTAAACTGCAGTGGCATCAGTAAAAATTCCAGAAGAAGAAACACTGATTTCAGTAATAACCAGCTACAGGTGTGTCTTAATGCGAAAATCCTGGAGTGTTTAGTGCAGTAACGCAAGTGCAGACAGATGACTGGGAGCTTGAACCTCACAGCATGGAGATGCCACAGCTGCCCTATGAGAAACACAGTTGTCTTCACACTAATCAACATTAAAGGTTAAAAATAAAGGGATGCAAAGACTGAGTGTTTGTGTAATCAAGTTAGTGAAAAAGGGAGACAATAAAATCCCCGTGTCTGGTGGTGTGTTGGTGAGAGAGTGGTATAAGGCAGCTGCAGGGTCAAAGAACCTCTCTGTGTCGTAAACCGTGAGGAGAGACACATACTGATGACCTCACGGTTTGTCACTCCAGCAACAAGGTCACTAAGAACAAGCATACTTACACACAAACACAAGAACTAAAGCAAAGTTCATTGAAAATTTACAAAAAAAACAAACAAACCACCACATACACTCACACCCGACACACACAAACAAATCAGTGCAAAAAACGCAACTGTAACAGGGTTAAAAAGAACATTTTGTGTGAGTGTGTTCTTCCACATCCGTTACACAACAGTGCTGATGTGATTCACAGTTTACACAGTTTCACATCTCTTCGGAAATTCTTGTGGACGTCCTATGAAATAAAGGTCTGGACAGCTTGGATGCTGAATTTCAAGTCTGACAAGACCAGCCTAGATGAAGACCAACAGTTGTTCAGTAAACATCTTTCAAAATTCCAGTTCGGTTTTAAACCAATCAGCTGCAATTTTTTTTATTAGGTTTTTTTTTTGTGGCTAAACAGGAAATATACAGCCAACACAGGAAGACGTAATTAAGGATCTCCAACTTTACACACTACTGCCTCCTCTGTGCTGCTGATAGTGACACGTCCTGTCCAGAGGAGTAATATGGAGTTCAGTGCAGTAGTGCAGACTTCATCACAGTGTAAGTGTAAACCTCCAGCACGCCTCACTGTTGTGTGTTTGTAGGAAGTGGAGGGAGCTTATCGTCATACTGTGGAGGCGGTGTGAGAGGTTCGATGGTGAACATGTTAGTCTGCTGGATATCGCTTAAGCTTTTCCTTCTAAGGTTGTCAGATTTTATGCGCCTAATTTTAAGGGGAATCAGCTTGCGTCCGGGACGGCTGTTTCTTCGGCCGCCCGCTCCAGTGCTGGGGTCGATTTGGGATGAAGGTCTGCATGCTGGGCTGAATCCATCCTCTGCAGTGTGCTGATCTTCCTCTAGCTCGTCATAGGCTGGCAGCTGGGTGATGCTGTTGTGTCGCTCAGAGGACTGACTGATGGGATATTGGCCACTCATTACCACCTCCTCGTAAGTGGGGACCATGTAGTTTTGAGCTAGTTGCTCTATCCTAGATGCAAAAATAAACGCAAATTTACAACCATAAACATATTTAGCTCATTATCATTTAAATTATCATGCAAAACATTTGGGGTCAGTAAGACTTAATCAATACTTAATACTTTAATTTAACAAGGATGCATTAAATTGATTGTAAGTAATAAAGATTTTTACATTGTTACAAAAAAGAATCCTGAAAAACGTATCATGGTTTTCACAAAAATATTAAGCAGCATAACTGTTTTTAACATTGATAATAAGGAGAAATGTTTTTGGAGCAAAAAAAAAAATCCTCATTCTGCCTCATTCTAGAAAAGTAACCATTACATTCCAAAGTCAGAAAGAAAACACAATAATTTGCACCTCAAAAGGACTAACCGACAACTTTATAATGGTTACTTTTCTAAAAAATTAGACATCCTTGATGATATATGTGGCTGATAAATGCGACCTCAGGAGGGCGCAGCCTTCAAAATGAGACAAAAAAGACCGTCATGAGAGTCTGCAGAGGTACTCTTTATAATATAATTTCCTGTCTTTTTTCCTGCATGTCGGTTGGACCACATTGATATGGCAGACAAAGTTTTTTCAAATATTAATAAGCAGTTTTGTTAAAATCTTTTTTTTTTCTAAGACTTAGTAATACAAGTTTATACCAAACTACTTAATAATGTTTAATAAAGAATTTCATTATTTTCATGGGGCTTTTTTCTCTATGATATCAGGAGAGTTGTCAACCTGACATTTATGATGTAATAAAATAAAAAAGAATGTTAATTCAGAAACTAAAAAAAAAGTTTCTGTCACTGTATGACTGAATTACACTTTTATGTGTTCTTGAATGCATTAATAAGACAAAAAAAAAATCAGTCATGTCATTGGCCTACTTATTATCATAAAGTGTAAGAATGTGGCTGCACCTGGGTGTGCATTTAACAGTATGTACTCACGTAGCCCCCTCCCCTGTGTTTGCAGGTGTACTGCCGGCTTCCTGTCCCCGGGCCGCCTGCTGTTTGTTCCGTACGCTCAGACACACAGACAGCAGCAGAAGCGCCACTCCTCCCCCTACTAGGACGAACGCCACGGATGAGGTCTCTCGAGCTTGACCTGGATCCATGCCGGGTGTGGAGCTGTTCCCTCCGGACCCTGCCGGCACCACGCTCCACATAATCATGACTATCCCCAGAGCAATTAGGCCCACGCCCAGCGCGGCAGTAGCATACTGCGCCCCAGAGCTACTGCCGCTGGTCCTGCTGGGGCTGGGTGGAGTCTGGTCGCTGTAGGACATGCTTCCAAACCTTCCCGTGGACTCAGATCTCCTCCGGACACGTTGTTTGTCGTCCTGTGCCTGTAGAAATGCCTAAAAACCTTATCTAATTTTTTCCTGTCTTTTTTGGAGCACTGACACGCTCTGTGAACAGAAAATCAAATAAAAGGTGAATCAGCAGAAAAGTGATTGAATCATCAGACAGACTATCATAAAAGAGTCTTATATATCAATAAGCGGCCAAGATCAAGGCCCAGTCCCTCCATAAAGCCAATGTGAAAATAGCATAGCAGTAACCCAGCCTGTGCTTCCGCAGTGATAAGGTTTTTATCAAAGCATATTTATTGTGTACACACTCATTGGTAGACATGTTAGGCTCGCCTAAATTCCTTCCATGAGATTAAGCAGGTGTCCCTTCAACTGAGCTTTAGTTACAGGTGCACGAAAACTGAAGAAAGAGTTTGATTCAAGAGTGAAGTGAGAGAGTTCACTGCTTTCACAAACGCAGACTTCGGTGAAATTTCATCTCTGCTCTGGAAGGTGTACTTTAGAGTGAAAACCAGGCAGCTCCAAACTCCAAAAATGTCTTTACTAACAATGTGATATTGTTTAATAGACACACACACTAAAGACAGCACATCATAACTCTGATGTGTCATGCCTACACAGCTCCTGGTATTGATTATCTGTACAGGCAGGTCTGGGATAAGCACTCTTACCACACCCTTAATCATTTCTCAGCATGGTAGCAACATTAAGCCATGCTCTCAGATCAGTGTAAATCTTGTACATGTAGAGCCAGGTAGTTTATAATGGAATCTATTTCCTTGAGCTGTGATTGTGTGTATGGAAAAATAATGGCTGTTGCTCATGAGCTTTGTGTTTGTATTCCTGCAGGGTTTTTAAAGTCTCCATGGACAGATATGATTTAATTCCGGCACATCTGACTTATTGAATTTAATTTCCTTTACGCATAAGCAAGGTTTAGTAAGTGTACATGCCTGAAATAGATACATAACATAGAATTTACCTAGCACGTCTAAGCATGCAGACAGATTAAATTATGATAGTGAATATGCACTGGGGAATGGCAGGAATTTCCTCCCCTCACAAAAGCCACTTCAGTCAAATCAAAATAGAAAAAAAAAATTGAGCCACATAAATTCACACCACACAGGGGGCACCGTAACCGGGAGAAAGGGTTCAGCTGAGGAAGCTCAAGGCAACAAAGTGTACCAGGGTCCCAGAAACTCTAGCGACAGCCTACTTAGCGGTCTCTTAGAGGGAAAAGTACACACGCACATTTCAGCATCAGTGAACTTCAAGGGACAGTTCACCCAAAAATTATGTCATCATTTACAGTACTCAAAAGGACACCCTAGGGGCAGTTCACACAGAATATGCTTTTATGATTAAAAATGCAAAATGCAAGTGGAACGGACAAAAGGTCTCCATATGTGTTTTAAACCTATTTTAACTTGGGCACCTAGTTTTTATGCAACATGCAAAAACGTTTAAAAATGTGTAAATGACCGTAAGGCTGTCAGATGTTTAACATTCTGCCAAAAATCTCCATTTGTGCATCACGCAAGAAAGAAAGTCTTGAAAGTTTGAAAGAGGGCAAGTGAAAGCAAAATTTTCTTTCTTGGTGTCCCTTTAAGCATCATCGTCTGAAAATCTAGATTTTGAATGTCTATACGCGTCAATAAAAACAAAACATATTGATAAGTAAGAGTTAAATATCTTTAACGCAAACATTACATATAGCCTATTAATGCAACTTAACACGACCAGAAGTCCTGTTAAACACTAAGAGATAGCAAAAGCAGACAATTCTTTACAGAGGGATCACATTGTAAGGCGTAAAAATGAAAATCTATGATTAAATATATAAAGATACACTTTACAACACAAAACAACAAATTACGCTGCGCACGACATGCGTTTAAAAGACTGAACGAGCCATTGAAAAATCATGTAAACAGTAATAAAAGTTCCAGGAAAACGAGTCAAACTTAAAGTTCACTGGGAATGTAATGAGTCTTACCCAGAAAAATGCTCTTCCTTGTGTTTAGGAGACCAACCCCGTTTAAATGCTGGGTGAAACCACTTTTAATCCACACGTACACCGGAGCTTTTGTAACACTCCTTAAGAAACTGAACTTGAATTTCTTAAAGCGGTTTGGCCTCGAGATATATATATATATATATATATTTTTTTTAACTGTATAATAATTATTGATAACCTTTAGGAAGACTGTAGATCTGTGGAGAAGCTGACATGGAGTTTATTTATGACATGAAGTTTATTTATAAATTTTTCAAGATACTAGCATTATTTATCACACCAGTCTGCAGTCAGGTGATACACATCAAATCACCAGCATCACCCACATAAATATAAATATGTCAAACAGGGTTTGTCCACCATAAATTCCTAGAGCGGAACAAATGCTCAACAATATTTAACTATTTTATGGGCAGTTGTGATTCTGGCAGTCTTATTAATGTTGGCCAAAAGTTTAAGTGAAACCCAGTGGACATAAAGATATTCATTCAGGTAAATTCATGAAATTCAAATAATCATCTATTTTAAATAATGATGTACTGTGTAACACAACATTTTACATTATTTTGTACAGTATTTTGTAGTACTAAATCTAATGTTTTCAGAGTCGGTTTTCTAAATTGTACCCATTAAAGGTGAAAATATTCATTTTATTGAGGGGGAAAAAGTCCAACTTTACCACAATTTTCATTGTGGAGTTCTCACAAATCTTAGTTAAAATTGTCAGGATACTTCACCCTGAATTCTCACACATTCCTTACCTGCACATGACAATAATTTCATCAAACATCTAAACAGATAAATAAATGTTTAGTGTATGTGCCCTTTCAAATGCATTCTTAAGATTGTCTCACTTTGAGACAAATGAGTCCCCAGTTATACACAACAACATAAGGTCTACAAAGCAAAGCCAAGACCCCTACTAGCAAACTGAGAGTTCAGAGACTGACAATGTGAACTTTCGTTGAGATTTCATCGACATTCACCTTGAAAAAGGAAATAAAATCCCCCATTTGGGAGCTTTAAGAAAGTGTCAGGAGAATAACTCAGACATTGGTGAGCTCAGCAGCAGAAAAATGCCGAACTGGGCAACGCTCTCGTTGTAGTGAGACCTCCTGAAGTCCATTCCTTGGAAATGACCCAGATCGGTTCTGGTGACTGATCTTCCGTCCAGTGAAATTCTTTGGGCTGAGACCGAGCTGCTGCTGTAGAAAGTAAATTGATCCATCAGATTTCTGATTCACTGATGCTACAAGCATTTGACTTTCAAGAATTATTCAAGCAATACAACAAATCATCAGTCTCTGAGGATGCATTGTTATTGAGAACTACACTTGAAGGAACTAAAGAGCAAAGGCCTTGAAAAGAGAGCACACAGTGGTTGTGCAAAAAAATGTATGCAAAGGATAAAGTCTTAACTAACTACATTTAAATGAACTGTTCACCCAAAAATTCTGCCATCATTTACCTTGTGTCATTCCAAATTATGGAACACATAGAACACAAAAGAAGATATTCTGAAGAACGCTGGGAACCAAACAACACTGGAGCACATTGACTATCATTGTATGAACAAAAAACACATTCTTTCAAAATATCTTCCGTTATGTTAGAAAGTTTGCAGTTTTGGAACGACACAAGAGTGAGCAAATGATGACAGACTACAAATACTGCAATCCTTTTTTTAATTTAAATAATAGTAAAATGATATATTGTTGCACATATATACTGTAAAACAATAAAAATCGGATTCATTTTCTTTTTCAGAACATACATTTTCATTTCTTTTTTTGATGTTCCCATCCGTACATGTTCTAGACGACTTTCAAATGATTTACCCTTAAATGTGGCTAGGTATCTTAACTAACTACATTTAAATGAACTGTTCACCCAAAAATTCTGCCATCATTTACCTTGTGTCATTCCAAATTATGGAACACATAGAACACAAAAGAAGATATTCTGAAGAACGCTGGGAACCAAACAACACTGGAGCACATTGACTATCATTGTATGAACAAAAAACACATTCTTTCAAAATATCTTCCGTTATGTTAGAAAGTTTGCAGTTTTGGAACGACACAAGAGTGAGCAAATGATGACAGACTACAAATACTGCAATCCTTTTTTTAATTTAAATAATCGTAAAATGATATATTGTTGCACATATATACTGTAAAACAATAAAAATCGGATTCATTTTCTTTTTCAGAACATACATTTTCATTTCTTTTTTTTGATGTTCCCATCCGTACATGTTCTAGACGACTTTCAAATGATTTACCCTTAAATGTGGCTAGGTATGTGACGATATCAAATTTTCATGTTGTGATAATTGCTGATACACGGTATTATCACGATATTGAAATAAGTTGTAAAAATGTGTTGTAATAATATAACAGGTTTAAAAACTTTTTTACTTAGAACAAACAGAACTGACCATTTAAATACAACAAAGCAATACACAAAAATGTATAAAGTAAACAAATGTTTCAAACAGATTAAAGTGCGAAAGATTTATTATTTAATGTTAGTTAATGCATTAACATTAACAATGAGCAATATTTGTTACAGAAGTTGTGTGACCGAACAATTTTCAAACAATATCTATGGCACGTTGTAGTCTAGATTAAAATGTAAAAGGTTTGAAAATAAATAGCCTATTAAGTCTATGTATTTAAGTATTCAGTGCTTAAATGCCTAAATGTGGCATTTGTATGAGTTTTAAAAATGTATGATTCATCTTTAGTGTTCTACCTTCACCCTCCTTAAAGACTGCTGATCGTCATGACAACTGGGTGATGAGCTGCTTAGAGAACTTTGCCGGTGAAGTGTGGGCGGAGTCCCCAAAGGTTCGACTTCCTGATCAAGCCCTGCCCTGCTGACACAGACATCAGAGAAATCTGCATGACTCGACCATCTCTTGATCTTGTATGACAATGTATTCAAAGAGACATTTATTAATTGAGACATATGCTTTGTAGAGTTAGACACATACAGTACAGCATCATTGTACTGTATGTGTCTGTGCCTAACTCTACAACAATACTAACAGACAGACAGTGCCTCTCTCCTGTTCTCTTACCTGGCTGCACTGACAAGTGCCTTCATCTCGTCATTCAGGTGATGACGGACCATGTGCTTGTTGCATGGAATACATAAAGCTGTCGCCATGGTGTCAGAGCTGAAGGAGGGATCCAACACCATGATGGCACCATGAACCCCACTGTTCTGAAGATTGTCAGCAAACTCCTAAATGAAAAAAAATATGTTTTTCTATATGCACCTACACTTTCTCTGTTAGCACTGCTGTTATCTCTCAATGGTACCTTCAGATCAATCTCTTTGATCCATTTGATGATGCGATGACAGGTCCACACTACTGGGTCTGTGTTCTGATTCCCACACTCTGATCGCCTGGACTGCAAAATCTGCAGCAAAACCGTTTTTTGGTTATTTGTTGTTTAGCTTCATTAACTTACTATAGAGACCTTTATAAAATCAGAGTATGTTTTTCCAAGCTGGGCTGTTCTGATGTGTGTTTGTGATGGTTGTTGTTGCCTTTTGGCAAGGTTTATTTAGTGCCATGTTATGAATTCCCATCATGCTGTTCTTCTGGTTTATTTGGGTGTGTTTACCTCTTTGTCAAAGCTGAGCGTGTGTAGCAGCTGTATTCCCAGCAGCAGGCTGTTCTGGTGGGCTTTTTTAGACACATGCAGATGCTTCTCAAGGTCGGTGCGTGTGAGTGTACTTAGAAGACGTCCATCGACAAGGTGAGTGTGAAAGAACTGGGAATATTGAGGGAGTCCCACATCAGTCAGCCAGGCCTGAGCCACCCAGTGGTGATCCAGATCAGCTGCTTTAGAAAGGCTGAAACACATGGCCACGATAAAGAAAATTTAAAATATTTTATAAATCTAGAAATAAATTGTTAGAAATGCACTCTTTGTGTTCATGCTGGTTTCATATGGTTTTGATACCATTTTCAAGAAAGGTTACAATTGAATGACTATAAAAAGAAAACAAGTGACAAGACAACATTATTTTTGTTTTGTAATCAACATTATGACACAAATGTTACAGACTGAACTTAACTTGTACTAAATCCGGATTATTCCTTTAATAATTGTTTTAATATTTAAAAATTATAAAAATATCTTCCACAAATATCATGAATTATTATGACAACACAGGGATGCTATTAATAACACAATACAGCAGCAGGGAAAGTTGTGGCCTAATAGTTAGAGTCGGACTCGTAACCCAAAGGTTGTGGGTTCGGGTCTCATACCGGCAGGGATTGTAGATGGGGGGAGTGAATGTACAGCGCTCTCTTCCACCTTCAATACCACGACTGAGGTGCCCTTGAGCAAGGCACCGAACCCCCAACTGCTCCCCGGGCGCCGAAGCATAAATGGCTGCCCACTGCTCCGGGTGTGTGTTCACGGTGTGTGTGTGCACTTTGGATGGGTTAAATGCAGAGCACTAATTCCAAGTATGGGTCTTCTAAGTTTTTGGTAACCTGGACTTTCAGCTGAGGGAATGAAATCTCTTAGGTTTTGTTAAAAAAATATCTTGTGTTCTTAAAAAATGTCTTAAAAATAATTTGTGTTTTGAATGTTAACCAGTCATATGGGTTTGGAATGACATGAGGTTGAGTAAATGATAACATAAATCTTTGATGAACTATCCCCTTTACATTTTACAATCTTAAACTTGATTTGCCATCAAAAAGAATGAATTGTCTGATATTTTTAAGAGACTTATTTACCTTGACACACAGTAATGAGAATCTGCAGGGGTTCTCTGTATGATGTAATCTTTTTATTATCATTATTATTATTTATGATGTGTGTCTCACCCATGTCCTGATTCTGCATCCCTGTAGTCTTCAATGGCCAGACGGAGTTTCCTGCGGTGCATTGAATTACTGATACCTAAAACAAACTCCAGGTCCTCATTCGTAAGAACTAACAAGACCTAGCAAAACACACATACAGAAATTTATGTTTAATTCTAACATTCACAAACACTGCTTGTTTAAATAGCCCAAAGCATTCAGGCCTGATAGGATATGTGCATTTTAGGGAATAGTTTTATAGACTGCTGTAGACAAGTG